CAGTATATGGGTAAAACTAAACGACAAGCATGTAGACGACTGTATGAACATGGATTACCTAAAGATACCTATAGTTCTCAATCATCTCAGTCATTATCTAATGTGAATTCATTCTCTATGACCACAGTAGCACAATCAGTGAAAACAGCTCGAGTAGCTAAAACAAAAGCTACTCAGAAAATAACGGAACAGGTTAAACGAATGAATGCCTCTGATCGAAAGATTCTCAAAGAGATTGATAATTATTCAGGCATTGTTGTTCAGAATGTTAAATTATTCAAAAATGTTATGAAAAGTGAAATAAAAGGGACTGATAATATAATTACCGACTGACTGTCTACAAGTAACATACAATATATACAGACAAAATTCTTCTTCATTTTCACAACATTTCATGCGTAAAGTACAGTAATGTTCTGTAATATTCTTTAAAAATGACTCTATGAAGAGTCGAAACGTCAGATGTTTTTTAATAAAATAGATTTCAGTTTAGTCTATGGTTGCTGTTAATTTAAAAAAGAATATTCTAATCAAATTATTGACTCTTAATCGTTTTAATAATTATATAAGTAGTGTCACTTCAATCGTGTTTTAATAAAATAAATGAGAAATAAAGATTTTTTCCTTTTATTTTTGTTATATTTTTATTGGCAAAAATAAAATTTGCGTGCATCTTAGAAAATCAATTACAATATGTGTTTGTCTCATGCATATCAAACGATATTTAAAGGTCATAATTTTTTAGTTAATGTTTCTCTGTTACCTGTCCATATTGATTACTTTTGTTCGAAAATATAGAATATACATATCAATTTTTATTTTTTATAACTGTAAGTAAAAATAACACCAATGAACGCACTTTTAGGTCAAATCTCATTACATATCAGCTGAATTTTGAAATTCAAATTGTATTTGGTCTTTCATTTCAGAAAAAAATATTATTTAGCAGGTAAATATAATTATTAAATTATCAGATTTCTGCTATTTTACATTGGATTATATTTATCTTTTCATTTACACTATTCTGTCGAGAAATAGGGTATCAATTTTTTTGATCACCAAAAAAAGATACTTTTGATCACCAAACACCTTTAGATACAAATGATCATCACAAAAAGATACTTTTGATCACCAAATTCTTTTCAGCATGTAGCTCGCATTTTTATTTCTCAACAAAGTATAATGTACAACTCAAATATATTCATTGAGATTTTAATCAAATGAATAATAAAGCTGTGCTAACTTTCTTGGGAACGAATGCATGTGAATGTATCATTGGCTTTATCGTTCTCATCGGTGGCTTATATTCAATAGTTTTCTGGTGTGGCAATAATCCTGTTGAGTTGTTGTATCATTATTAGTATATTCGTGTAAACATTCTGTTAAATTAGCAATTTTATTTAACTTGTGACAAGTTAGCGATAAAACACGTATTCAACCATTAGGCAAACGAAAAGCAAAAGGGCGTTCCAAGAAAGTTAACACAGCTTTATTATTCATTTGATTAAAATCTCAATGAATATGTTTGTGTTGTACATTATACTTTGTTGAGAAATAAAAATATGAGATGCATGCTGAACAAAATTTGGTGATCAAAAGTATCTTTTTGTGGTGATCATTTGTATCTAAATATGTTTGGTGATCAAAAGTACATTTACTCGAGAAATATAACTTACTATAAAATTAGTTCGTAAAACATGACTGAGAAGAATACATCATTTTTCTAGATAATAAATATGAAAACTAGAAATGGCAAATAGTTCATCAAGATTTGAACATTATTTTGACTAATTAAAATTAATAATTAAAGAAAATTATTTAATTTGATATGTCGAATATAACAGGAAGACTCTATGATACTGGTGATAATGCGTGGATGATGACTTCAACGGCTCTCGTGTTTTTAATGACACCTGCATTGGCTTTTTTCTATGGAGGAATGGTTCATCGTAAAAAATATTTTAAATCAATTATTTTTGTCCGTAATATGTATGGGTATTGTTCCTATACAATGGGTATTGTTTGGATTTTCATTTGCTTTTGGACCACCTATCAGTGAAGGTTTTGGTTCATTTCGTTGGTCAGTATTAAGATTTGGAGAAGAATTTAATCCAAATTATTCCCCAACTTATCCACTATTGACGTTTTGTGCTTATCAAGGTATTTTCTATGAAATTCATTATACTTTAGATAAAATTTTATTCTTTTTTTTTGAATTAGCTGCATTTGCTATTATAACGCCTGCATTGATCAGTGGTAAGTTGACATAATAATTTATAAGTAGAATACAATAGTTTGTTTATTGATTTTTCCCAGGTAGTATTGTTGGACGCATGAAATTAATTCCCTACATGATATTTATCTTTATTTGGACGACAATCTGTTATGATCCACTGGCCCATTGGGTGTGGGCAAGTAACGGTTGGTTGAAGAAGCTTGGTACATTAGATTTTGCTGGCGGCACTGTCGTACACATATCAAGCGGTGTTTCGGGATTTGTTGCGTCGGCCATATTAGGACATCGTGTTGATTATGATCCCCATGAAATTGGACATAATCTACCATTTTCATTATTAGGAACTTGTCTCCTATGGGTATGATGTTCATCATTTAAGACATCCCAATAAAGACACTCTGACATTTTGCCCTCTTCTTTACTTTTCTCCTTCTGAACGACTTTATTAAAGATAATGGCAAATGCTCCAAATAACTTCAAACGGTCCAACATAAAGTCATCAACGAGGAATCCCAAAAGAAACTATTTCTGGAAATATCTAGGCTTTCTGCACATCATTCAATTAATGGTATTTGTCCACCACCCTAAGTCTGGACGTTTTAAATAGATGATGGTTAGGATGGAATGGATTCAATGCGGGTAGCGCAAACGCTGCGAAGTAAATGATTGTTAGACCTCATAAACCATAAGCTCAACATTTTTTCCAAAAACAGGCCAACAAACGAAGTGACAAAAGAGACTCTTCATGACAAAACCAACCTTTTGTGACCACAGTTAGTATGTCATGTTGACCTGATTGAGCCAGATCATATCTCGCTTGAAAGTTCATGAAAAAATAACGGACAGTGGTGTTATTTAACATAGTCTGTCAGAACTTCGGATGTCATTTGGTTTGATCGGTATGGAATGAAATTTGAAAAATAGTCAATTTCTACTTGATATTTACTATAATAATATGAGTTATTTTATTCCTCCATCTTCCCATTTTTTACCGAAAGATTATCTTAAATAAGAAGCTTTCTGGTACTGCTTTATTCCGACAATTAATTTTTCCGACAACCCATCGTTTAGTTACAGAGCTATCTGGCTAAAAGTTCTGATATAGTTGTATTGTCTCTCTTCTTTCCTTTCGAATAGTACTTGAATAAAAATATCAATTACACAGTTACACAAGTTTTGACAGATGAAATTTCAAAAATGTTAAAGAATACGACGATTCATTATTTTTCAAGAGTCTTCAGATCATGTATGACCTAACCAGGTCGGGATGACATACGGACTATGGTTAATTTTCGGTGGATTCTTCCTTAAGACAACTAAACTGTACTTCTTTAAAGTAACTGATATCATCACACTGAATAGAGAACTAGCACTCTTTCCACATAAGATATTCCATGTGCGGAGAGTCTTTCGTCTCAAAGCATCGACCGAAAAGAAAGAGAACAGAAAGATATACATATGCGAAAAGAGATATCTTTGTATTTGCTAGTTCTCTAACAGAAGTTGAAAAGGCATGTGATCGAACTGCGTAATAAATAAATCTTCTGCTATCATTTAGTGGTTTAGCTGCGTTAGCTATTATAAATACAAATACGGCTGCTGCTTCAGCCTTATTGACATGGGTTGCAATAGATGCATTCCGAGGATCAGTTAGTATTAGTGGTGCTTGTATTGCTCCAGTCGTGGGTCTTGTTGCAATTACACCGGCATGCGGATATGTTCAACCAGGATGGGCTTTATTAATAGGTATTATTGCCAGTTGTATTATTTATTGTGCTATGCAATTCAAAAAGTATATGAGGGTTGATGATGCTTTAGACGTTGCCATATGTCACGGATTAGGTATCTGTTTAGTTAATTAAACGATATACATAGTTTGAAATTAAATTTTTTTTTTGAATAGGTGGATGTATTGGAGCTTTTTGTACGGGATTATTTGCTGAATTTAATGTAAATACAGACAGCGGTGCCAACGGTGCTTTTTATGGACATCCAATTCAATTATGGTATCAAATTGCTGGAATTTTAACTGCTATAGGCAAGATATATATCCTGTAGATAGATAATTTAAACAGAAAAAACAAGATTTTTCTCATCTTAGGTTTTGCCACGGCTTGTACCGCTGGTATATTGTTGCCGATGCGTTTTTTATTTGGTATTCGATTAAAAGCTGAAGATGAAATGATAGGTTTAGATCGAACAGGTTTACACAATAAAGATTTAGATCATTACACGAGTTTCATTTTCGTTTCTGTTCTAGCTCATGGTCAAAGTTGGGAATTATTCGCATCAGTAGCAGCTCACACGTTAGTTCAAAAAATAAAGCAGCAATCGTTAAAAAACGATGGAACAACACCAACTGTAAACGGTACTTTAGAAATGCAATATCAACCGAATAATTTGGAAGAAAACCCAGTTGTAATTAAATTTCCCGTTTTGAGTGCGGACATGAAAGAAGAAAAAACAGACGAGGTATTCTCTCTGCAACTATAATATATTCACTATCCATTGTAAAGTATTCAACTACTAGACTAGTCGTGAGCAGAAACTAAACAAGAATCCCAGTGAAACTAAATTAACTTGTGTGTGAAGACTAGAACTCTTGAAGAAATTAGTTTAATTAAGAAACTCTTATGTGTCAAAAGTGATGGAGACCTACGAGGAAATAATGTTATTTATGGACATTTTTAAAGAATAGACACAACGTGTTAACGTTTCCCTAGGTCACCTTCCGCTGTTATTTTATATTTCAATAAAATGCTATTAGCTGTTCGAGCGAAAAGAAGATGTCGCCTAAAAAAAGTTATAAATGAAAAACAATCGGAATAAACAAAGTATTGTCCTGTTTATGACAAGAGCAGGTCAATTCAGTTACTCTGACCTTATCTTGTTTTTTTAGTAAAAGATTCTGTCTAAGTCATAATTATTCAATGAAATGTTCTTTGAATTCAGTCCGTAGTACGAAACTATCAAATGTTAAAACAAGTTTCATCTTTATTAACAAAGAAACAAAAAATAAACAAAGCAATAATAAAATCATTGCGTATTTCATCTTTTTGAATGTGTTGGATGATAAAGGAAACATACCTTTTGATTTTTTATGACTGTACACGTAACTGTTTCAATCCCCCAGAGAAAAAGTATCACAAAAATAGATGGAGTAGAAAAAGAGTAATAAAATAAAAAGAAAAAAGAAAAATGCATAACAATGCAATAACAAAGTAATTTTGAACAACTTTGCGGGAAAAAAATTACTATCTCATCGATGATCTTTGATAGAATGCGAAGCGCGGAAATAATACCAAATATAAAAAAATGTATCTACTGTATATATGAAAAATACATTAAAAAAAAGACCAGTAGAACAAACACATATATATCGTATGACAAATTGTCAATATAAACAATATATCATCGCTGGACATAGTTTTAAATTAATGATTGTAACTTTTCACGTTGTATATCACTTAAATGTTGACAATTTTGACCATATTTTAGAGCCTTTTTAACATTATCAGTATTAAAACGTTCGTTATACGCAACGTTTCGAATCATTGCGAATAATTGTTCGCCTAATGTTTTACACAAATATTGTGGATTGTTATATTCTAATAATTTTCCAAATAAATTTAAACCTTCTATACATTCTAATCGATTTCGTGATTTAATCAAATGATTTATTGATAATAAATTATGATTTATTAAATTTAATTTTAGAAATATCAATGTAATTAATAATTCATCACATTGTTGATCATCAAATAATTTTTTTCGATTATTTGCCACTAAATTTAACCATTGATCGATATGAGAACTAATTGAAAACTTTTCGGAATGTTTGAATAAATAATTCAAAGCAGAAATATATTTTTTGATGGAAATTGTTAATGGTAATTGTTCATTTTCAAGAATAAGACGTAGTTGAGTTACAGCATTTTCATTCAACAATGGATCAGATGTTTCAAGTTTAAAAAATAATTCTGTATGTTCATTGGTATTCTCATTCGATAAAGAAGTTTGTGTAGAAGCTAGATGAAAAGAAAATTTATGAAATATATTCTTGACTTTCTAGTTGAAAAGATAAACGGCATACTTATCTAAAAAATACGTCACAACTGCTGAGAAAGCAGATAGTAAATTATTAAACAACAACAAAAATCAAATAGAATATCGATGATGTATTTACTAATTACTATTTGTTCCGATTAACTTATCTTTTTTTTAACGCAACTTTGCATGAAAGAACAACGACGACCTCTAGACATTCAGCTAAATAACACAAAGAAACTACTATTAAGAGAATATCTTCGAAAACAAACTAGCTACAAGCATCATATGCAATGATTACATTTCTAGTGTCTCTTCTCTTCTTCATAAATTAAAATTATCAGATCTTGCTATTAGAAAAAAGTTCTTTCGATTATATATAAAACATCCTTGGTAAAATCTCTCATGACTAAAGCATTTGCTCGCGTTGTCTTTGACAAATTTCAAAAGTAAAAGTCTTTTCTAACTAAAATAGATAAAAGATTGAAATTTTACTATCGAGAAAATCTATTTTTTGCCTTTTCTATATCTACTTTTAAAGGAGCATTGATAAAACATCTTATTTGTGTTAAAAATAAATACAAAATCGTTGATTTTTCTAGGATCTTGTTTAAAGTTACATTTTTCTCTTTCTCATCTTTTGTTGTGTATGTCGAACTTGTCCCATCTAAGTTCTTAAACCTCTTACCTGTCTCCATGTCAGTTTTTTACATCAGAAACAAAACAAATAAATATATGTATGTATGAAATCGCATGTGAAAACTGCTGAACAAAGTCTAACAGACATTCCCTTAAGAACTTAGACTCAAAATGACGTGTATACTTTCTAAAAATCTAACTTAACTTACATATTTCTTTTTTTTGCTCATTGTCTTTTACACTAGTCTTCCATTCGGACATTAACTGTGTTTGAAATAATTTTTGTGAAAGCATTGGTGATGATTTAGCTATCTGTTTCAAATTGTCTATTTGTGCATCGTTAATTAATAATTTATTTTTGTTTGTAAAACAATGTTTTAAAACACGAACCATCGCTTTTTTCCATTCACTAATAGTATATATTGAACTAGGTAATTCGAGCATATGTTGAATATTTATCAATATCAAATCATATTGTTTATCATCAGTAATATCTTCCAGTTGTTTCATGATTTGTTTGGGAGATAAATGTAAGTGATGTTTTTCTAATAAATCATTCAAATATTCTAAAGTATTTTTACCTAAAAAGAACGGAGACGGTCATCGTTTTCGATATACGTTTTGGGAATAGGTGGAAAGTCTGCATAAAACTCAGCTGCATAAAAAGTAGTTTCTTAGCCTAAATTTCTTAAAAAATTTCAAAGAACTCTGTTCAAACAATGAGGAAATGTCCACTACTTTCCATCCCCTGCATCGAGACGAATAGTTGGCAAAAAATCGAACGTGCACCTTTTCTTGATTGAATTAGAAGAAAATATATTTTAATAAATGGGTTAATTATTGTCAGAAGGAGTTTATTTCAACTGTTATAGATCAGGAGAAAATTCTTGATTGAAAATTAGTATATGAGCACAGTGTTATACGATAAAAAAAACTTTTCTATCTAACCAGATTGTGAGTAAAAATAATTTAGATTATAAATCTAGACTTTTTTGAAGACATATCAATGAAAAGATTTCTCAGTTTAGACTTATGGTCCCGGAGAAGCAAACTCATTCTCAAAGTTAATTTTCAATAAATGCGTGATTAGTATAATGAGTTTCCTTCCTTTTCTAAAATTCAATCAGATTCCAAAACTTACCAAAATGTTTGTTACTACTTTGTTAAATGTTGTTACTGCATCGATGATGAAAGCAGTAATATGGATTTTTGTTCCTAAATCTCCGTATGGATTTTCCAAGTAATATCCGTTTTTTTCGACTAAGAAACGTTTTCAAGGAAAAGTAAGATGCAACGCTAAAAACTGCCTCAAATGAGGGGGTTTTCAAACATTTCTTCAGAGCTTTTTATCTAGTGAAAAAATTCGATCTCATGCCTTTTTTTTATCAAAAATTAAAAGTTTTCACGATAAGATTTTTTCTTGCGACAATAGGCTTTTCAGGTATAGAGAGTTATTCTAAATCAAAATTAATCATTTTTGACGATAAAATACTTGATGTTCGTCGTATTCATGTGTATTCAAGCAAAACTAGTGTCGATAAAAGAATTCTTTTTGTAGTTACCTGATTGATCACATAATGGATGGTGTTTGACCAATTTGATTAAATCAGCTATATTACTCTCTGTATATAGTTGATGTTGATTATCATTTTCAAATGTGTAAATAATAAAACTAAGCACTTTCTGAAGATCAGTTTTTGTTTTAATAGTTTCGACTGATGATAAAACTGTTTTCATGTCACCTTTACCTTGTGTCAAATTACTTATTAAAACATCAATTTGATTCGATGTAGTCACCGTTAGATTTGAGAAAATATATCGTTGCTGTTGTTCTGATATAAACGTTGAAAAATAAGTCTGATTATGTTTTAATATTTGATTTAATTTCGTTTGATCAAACGTTGTTTGATCAATACTATTATCTGAATTATGTTGTTTTATATAAAGAATAATGGCCGTTATTAAACAATAATTTAGTTCGATTGTCGAATTTCGAGGTGTTGTTGACATTGTTTTTGGTAACTGTTCGATAATTTTTAAAAATTCTTGATAAGCACGTTGATCATGTAGCATGATGTTAGTAAATAAACGATTTAAAATAATTGAATTCAACGGTATAAAATTTGTATTATATTGTGTTTTTAACGTTGTTTTTTCTTTATGTTGCTGTCCTTGTGATGGTGCCTGTTGAAAAGATGTTGGACTTTCATTCGAACGTGCAAGTTGAAAAGCTTTCGATAATTTTTTATTACGTTTTTTATTTAAATGTTTTTTTTCAATAATATTTTTCAATTGTTTACATTGTTCATTTGAATATTTTGTTTTATTTTGATAAATTTGAATGAGTGTATTTGTTAAAAGATCAAGTGAATTTGGAAATGTAAATACACGCTTTTGTACTAATGTTTTAAATTCATTGAATACATCTTTATTGTTAACACTTGTTGACATGTCAACTAGTTTTGTACATATTGGTAATAATTCATCGACTGATACCGGACGTAAATAGAATGATTGTAATTTTTCATTCTCATTTCGAGCCATCGGTTCTAATAATGTTGATGTTTTTAAAGTAAAATCTAGCAGTTCTTTACATTGTTCCATTGAAAAAGTCTGAACATCTGAACATATCGATTCAATTAGTGATATCAATCGACTTGTTATATAACTATTAAGAAATGGAATTTTATTTTCAGATTCATAATTGTTGTTCGTTGTTTGATTTGATGATCGATTCTGTTCTTTTTTTTTTTCATTATCACTTATTAGAGATTCTGGTTTTAACGACGTTGAATCTGTCACATTATCCTAAACAGCAAAAGCACATCTTAAGTGTCGCAGTTTTAATGAGAAATGCAAAAATTATTCATGTCTGCTGAAGCACAAAAACTTGGATTTTGTAATGCTAATCAAATCCCGCAGTCCACGTACCGAAAGCGGCACAGGGGAACAGAAGTTTATTTTTACGATTCCCTTGTTAAAAATCCTATGACGATGCAAAACAAATCCTAAACAAATTTTCGCAGAATGTTCATCTTACCTAGATTACATTAAGGTAAAAATTAAGCTTAAAAATTTGAGTTTTCCAGAGCTGTCTCAAAAATAGTGATCAAAAAATAAATGTTGTCATTTTCTAGCGTTTTCTTCTATTTTATGTCCCTCCCATATGACTTAGATTGATCCTCACATGACAGGAAGGCTTGTGGCTGTGGCTGAACAGAGGCAGATTCTCGAAATTTTGTTTTAGTTACTTTTTTTTCGAAGTTTGATCTTAAAAGTTCGGAAAGTACTTTGCTAGTTTTTCAACGAGCTTTATTTTTCTTTAAAACTAATAAAAAATAAAAAATTACGCCTGGTGAAGTCATAGCCACAAGTTTTCTAGTCATTTTAAGACCAATTCGAGTGTTTATAATAAAGAAGAAATCTGAAAAAGCATACACTTTGGGCTATCCAATCATGTATAAAACCCAAAATCTAGATTTTGGACAGAAAGGAGTTTTGAAAGACTAACTGATTATAAGAAACTAATGACTTTTGGATTAATTCTCTTGTTTAAATAATATTCTTTTGCTTTCATCACCATATCTTCATAGACGACGAATATTCCTACTGAGAAAAAAAAATCGATTGACACTTGATTAGTTCACCTGTTCGTTTACTGATGTTTTCTCTGTGGTCGTTTGCACTTCAGAACATAATGGTTTTTCTATTGATAAAATTTGCTTTATTTGTATAAACGCTTGTTCTTTATCATTACAATCAGCGTCTACATCACTTTGTTGTTGTTTATTCTGAAGTTTTGATTGCATATCATTCAATTCTTGTAATGTCACGGGTGCTCGTCCTTTAATCAAATAGTGATTCATATAACATTTTTGTATTGCATTGAATATAGTAGATTCAATACCAATTGTTAATAAACGTTTATATTGTTCTGCATTCAAATGTCCACAACTAGCTAATAATAATATCGAATCATACCATCGATAATAATTTAAAATATACTGTGATTTCTCTTTATTCTTTTCGCTCTGCGAACTTCTGCTCGTAATCTCATTCAACATTTGCTCTAAATCATTTAGTAACTGATCGATATCTTCATTAACTTGTTGGTTCTTCATACCTGCCAATCGTTTAAGCCAATTCGATCGCTTATTATTTCGTTCAAGACGTTTTTCTCTTGTGCGAACACATTCAGTCAATTCATTTGTTTGCTGCTCATTGAACAAGTTCTTTTTAGTATTAAATATCAAATGGCAAATACGATTATAAAACAAATTATCTAAATTAAGATTCTTTGTAATAAATTCTTTCAATATTTCGTATAATAGTTGATCAATGGAACCGTCTGAACGTAATAAATATTCTTGGATATCATTCAACATCATTCGTTTCGTTTCAGTTGAATTATGAACGTGTATATTAATATCATTCAATGGAATCAATGGACGTTGCCGACAAAATTTTTGTCGACCATTATCAATAAAAAATTTTATCAATTTCCTGTAATATTCATCTTTTATCAAAACATTTTTGTCGTATATAAGATGGAATAATTCTGTACATTGTTCATTGTTATACACATGGTCATTCTGAGCAATATGAACTAGCATATTGAAAGATAAACTTTCGTTTTGTTCATTGTATTGTTGTTTATTCATGTTTTTAATACATTCAATTAATGCTGGAAGATCATTTTCATTTTTATCAGCGATGTTTTTTCCAGTTGTAAATTTCAGTGTTAAGTAATGAATTTTCCTTATTAATGTATTGTTCAATATCGAAGGATAATTTGGTTTGTTTCTCTTTTGCTGTTTTCTTTTTGCTGATTTATCGCTTAAAATTTCATCTGTTGATGTTGTTGATGATACTGTTTCGTCATCATTAGATGATACACTTGATTCATCATCATCACTTGTAGCTGGATTCAAGTAGGCATATGCACGCTCACCATGATTATTTGTTTGAAAATGTTTAGGTGCACCTCTAGCCTTCATTTTATATCCACCTCTTCCTCGTTTATCATAAACGGTTTGTCTCGAACAACCACGAGCGATATGCCCAAATTCATTACAGTTGAAACATTGATCTAAATCAGGATACATAAAATGTCTATATTCTTCAGATTAATCACCTATTGGTACTTACATTGACTTAAATCAACATTTGACATATCATCATAGCCATTAGTGTCATCGAAACCACGAGACGGACGTTTTCCAATGACTCTACTATTTGATGAACCACGATTGTTACCTGCTAAAAGAAAAGAATCGAAAAATAAATAGGTTTACCAATCTAAAATCGTTTAATAAGTTCTTTTGTTAGTCATAGTAGAAATATAATTTCATTCTCTTAAAAGGCATTCGCCAGACGATGCAGTTTGACTAGATGGAATCAATTCAATGCACTGAAAGAAAACCAGAAATGAATGTAATGTTACCTCTACGGGACTGTTGATGTGGTTCAGATGGAGCGCTCTTTGGAATATTAGAAAGATATTCTCTGCCAAACAATGGAGCACTTTGTCGACATTGTGCCGGTTTACCATTTACTCGATTTCCTCTGTTTCTCACTTTTGCATTCCCACGTGTATTTCGATTCACTTCTTCTTGACTACTAACATGTTGTTGTTGCTGTTGTTGTTGTAGATTTGGTGATTTACCGACAAGAGACAACTCGCGTGTTGATATATCTTCAAGGATAAATTGATGCTGTTCACTTGTTAAAGCTTTTGAAACTGCAGCATATTCTAATAGGCTTTTAATTTCATCATCTTGAAAATGTTGACTAGAATTGTTTAAAAAACATTTTATGCAATCGAATAATATTTCGTTATAATCACTATGATATTCCAACGGCACTTGAAGTACAGCTAATAATAATTTCAAACCAACACGACGTTTTTCATCATCAGTTGATTTTAGATTATCCTCTAACAATGATTCTAAATGAGTTGCAATTATTTCAGCGTCAGCTTTTTGTATTGTCGCAGTTGACTGACGTGTTGCTTTACTACTATCGTTAGTAGCCATGAAGGTATTATATAAAATAACCTAAAAGAAACATACATAGTTTCAACGTGCTTGTTCTCTATGTACGAACTGTCCTCAACAGCCAACAATAGGATAGAATGAGAGAAAATCTAGACTTCATCACTCATTTTAACTAAATCTTAACAGAAAATCATTAACTTAGAATGACTCCAAGATTTGATGATTAAAAATCGTGTTTTCGCCGGTTTAAAACATTGATTTTACCCGTCTCGATAGATGCGCGATTGGTAACGCTATACTATGTCTACAGATAGTTAGACAAACTTTTTCAGCAATAGGTCATATTCTTGTTAGAAAGGATCTTGAAATTAAACGAATACCTAAAGCGTAAAACTCTTCCTAAATGATTTAGAAATTTTTCTTTTTATTTAGAAAGAGTTTTACGCTTTAAATTTTTCTTTTTAAATTCATATCTATTACACTCTTTAGCTAGGTTGAAAATCTGTTTTTCAGCGATAACTAGCAAGCCTACTCCAAAGAAGAATTGACCAGTAGGATCTGATTTTCACAATTATAATGTTTGGAAAAAACTGATGATTTTTTGGGGAAAGATTATTAGATATTGCGATCTTTAGATTTTTAGATATTCAGACTGGTCTCCAGTGTTTCTAATGATTAGTGGGTCTCGCTTGAAAAAAATGGGTTTCCACTTTGAAAATTCGATTTTCACTTTTATTTGTTTTTAGCAGAGACAACATGGAAAATGCAGTGGTAAACTGTGGAAACCCACGTTGCTTAAAATTCCTATTAAAAACACTGCTGGTCTCCAAAAGTGAAAAAAACAAATCGACGTACCATCATGGCGAAAGAAAAGCAGAGAAGCTTGCTTTTCTAGCATATATTCAAAATGTGTATTTTTCTGAGAAGGTAGAAAAGCACAATAGCTTGGTTTTTTCCAGTGTAAATTGAAAATATGCATTATTCTGGAAATGTGGGAAAGGGAAGGTGGATGGGGAGATGGGAGTGAGCCCCCCATTAATATTCCCCATCGTGAAAGAAAACAGGAAGATACCCGACGATATGAACATCTATGTATCTGTACATCTAAATATCTAAACATTTGAATATCAGAATATCTCAATATCTAGATATTATGTAATTGCAGGTGTAAGACTAAGACTGAGACTAAGATTGTTTATTCACGAAAAGTGAGAGTCATCAAAGGTCACCGACCTGTAATAACAATGACTCAAGCCAAACAACACCAAAATAGTAATAAAAGAAATAACAAAATAAAGAAGACAACTAAGATTAGAATCAGAAGTAGTAAAAGAAAACAAAAAATTTTTAAAAACAAAACAAAAAAGAACAAGCATAAATGCTTAACTGACAAGCGTTTCACTGAAAGAGATACTGGAGTAAGGCTGTTTTGAAAGACATAAAAGAAGAAAGACAAATAACTGAAGAAAGACAAGATACCTGACGATATGAACATCTATGTATCTGTACATCTAAATGTCTAAACATTTGAATATCAGAAAAATCTCAATATCTAGATATTATGTAATTGCAGATGTAAGATTAAGACTGTTTGTTCACGAAAAGTGTAGACTTAGTTAAGTTGAACACTTAAGAATTTTTATGAAACACCGTCCTATCTTTAGTTTTAGCGTACTTTAATGCAATCCTTCGACTTATACCAGAAAGAAATTTGCTGCTTTTTGGCCATGGGACGCTAGAATTACTTTCATCTAAACTCAGTTTTACACCATTGAACATTTTGTAACTTTAGTCTCTATGTTAAAATGGCTTTAAAAAAACGTTTTTTAAGTTAAAAATATATTTTAGAATAAAAATCTAGTTAAATTCCGGTTGAAAACGATATTTCGAAAAACTACACTACTGATACAGATGATGCTGGTGTACAGCGCAACATATTCTGTTTGCTATTGACCGGCAATTCTCTCAGCAGAAAAAACGAAACTGGTTTTTGGCGGACATGATGTCGTTTTCTTTGAATGGCCACGACTACAACGGTGATCGGATGCAAACGATAAAGATAACGTTCAATCGCTATCAGAAGACATGCATTCAAATATGATCTAGAAATAATATAACCTGTGTAAGAGTTTATTCACCTATAGCATTATTTCAACACGAAAAGATGATAATCGTCTTGACTTTTCTCTCTTTTCTATCACTCACAGTCTAATACTCTAATAGTGTGGACCAATACGGAACTAATGCGTAGCAAGGTAGGAAAACCCATAAAAGTTTAAACCTGATACATTAACAAAAGGATTATGCTATTATCATTCAAACTTAGTAGCAGTGACTCAGTTGACTAGTGGGCAGAGAACGTACTTCAACACACGGAGTTCGAATCCCGGCAACGACGGTCGTGTGATAGTCTTGGACAAGCTATCTAATGTTTATTGTCTCGGTACCTTTGGACACAGATCCAATGGGGTAACCCGATTTCAGTGCCATTGGACTGGAGAGATGAAAGTTAAAAGTTTAAAAAAAAAATACTTAAAAATAAGAACAATCTATCATCAAAAGTACTACGTGACTAATGATCGTCATCATATTATTGTTCACTTTGTTACCATCCATTCTATGACCACACTCTGATTCGTCATCTGTTGATGTGTTAGTCTGATGTCGAACCATATTCTTTTTTTCAGGAAATGATTAGTTAGTGTATAGGAAATACAAACTGTACACATTCACTAGCCAAAATACAGACAAAAAATCTCAAACTCGCAAATAAGCAAGAAAAGGATATCAGTATTCAACGAGTGTGGTTCGTCATTAAGTAAAACAACGATTAAGGTATGCTTATTTATTTTTTGTTGAACATATTGTGGTTATTATCGACTGTGAAATAAATAGAATAAAACATACTTTAAATAGGAACTTTCCTAGAGAACGCACTTGTACCCAAGTACTTCGGACAAGTACTCCGCTTGTGTAATGAACTGTCTTTTTTCCAGAAGTAAATTTACTTGTAAGTACTTGTCGAACGTGCAAGTACTTGATTTTTCACTTGACAAGCATTTGTTCAAGCGGTTGTCAAGTAAAATTGCAAGTACTCGGATTGTTTTCAAGGTAATATTATTCGAATGTTTCTCTATTGTACGTTAATATTCACTTTGTAAACTTATATTATTCCATGTCTGAAGTCCACAAAGAAAACACGTAGTTAGTGGGCGATTGTATATTATATTACAAGTATCCAAAAGCAGACAGCAATCTAAACTAATCTCTTAACTGGTGATGATGTAACTCCATTTTACACTGGTAATTTGAGTAAATTTATTTTATTTTTCGTCATACTCAAAAAAACGCTAAACAGATAGTGATTCAAATTTCAAAAACTTTGCCGAATAATATTTTGCTTCAACCGCCGCTAGTGCCTACAGGTAGATTCTGTATCTCTGCTCATTACATTGATTATTATACTTTCCCATGTCTTTAGTTCCAAGATATAGAATTTACAAGCGTATTTTTCGATAATGAACATCTTTTCTTTTATCATCCAAATGCTTTTATTCTCTCATAAGTCAATAGGACACAAAAAAAATGTTTTAACGCAAACAAATAAAGCAACATTTACATACAAAAAAGAATCCTGATTGTTTTGTGGAAAAAAAAATCTTCATTTCAATCACGTCACAAATAAACACAATTATATTGTACAACAGTTATTTTTCTAATAAAAGAAAGTTGAATTGAAACAGAGTTTGCTGGAAATATAATTTTGATTATTTAAAGTGCTAAGGTGATCGAGATCGTTCATTATGTTCTTCTTCGTCTGTATGTGGTTCATTATCATTATTCATATGAATATCATTTTCATCAGCAGATTCTCGTTCACCACTAATATCTGATGATGAACGTCTCTTCTGTTTTTTTAATGGTTTTTTGTTTGCTTCGGAATGTTCATCATCAACTTCATTATCACCACGACGTTCTTCATTATCACTTTCATCTTTGACCGGTGGTGATTTCACGTCTTGTTCTCCATTACCACTTGGACTACGTGTTCGACGTTTGCTCACCTTTTTCTCTTCATCAGATGATCGTCGTTTATTACGACTTCTTGAGCGGTCACGAGATGATTCACTAAAATAAAAGCATGAATTTATATATACGATTAATCTTACATCACACAAAACATGAAGGTTATTTATTCTCTTTCGCAGTTCAGAGTTCTGCTTTTGTTCTCGTCTTAAACCAAGAAAAAAATCACTGAAGAATGTTATTCTATTTCTATATTTTAATAGAAATTCATATTTCTTTACCTGCTATGTCGCCTTGATCGCCTAGAAAATAAACAAAAATCAACACAAATAGCTTAGAATTTTTAAATGATAAAGGTTAATATTTTTACTTTTCTGCTGAGCGAGAGCGTGTTCTTGTAGATGAACCTCGTTGTTGTTTACTTCGTTTTACTTTTTTTGAATGTGATCTTGAACGACGATGTGACGATCTCTTTTTTGCTTTTTCACCAGTTTTGTCACGAGAGCGTGATCCAGATCTTGTACGACTTCGTTTGCTATCACGTTCTTTTGATGGAGATCTATAATAACACACAAAATTAGTAGACAACAAGTCATATTGATTTTTATCAAGAGAACAGTACAATGCATGCAACACTAAAATATCGCAGCTGTTTTAAATATTAATGAGAAAACAAAAATTACTTACTATAGAAAAAGCGAGAGAGAAAGAGATCCATCAAATGGCTAGTACTTTCAAAATAAGATCTCAATTGATTCTCAATATATTTTAGTATGTTTGTCTCTCTCGTTTATTCGATGTTGTATTTGATGTCAATGTATGGCGATCAGACGAACGGTACATGAAACAATCTGTTGCAGGTGCCGATGATTTTAAGATGCGGTCAGAAGAATAAAATAACAACAGCACGCGTTCAGATGAGTGAAACGCTGAAGAAACGATATAAACGAGTGTTGAAATATCAAGCAGAAGAAAAATATACACTTAAAAATGTCATTCACTCCCAGTTTACTAAGGCAAAACTAGTTCAACACGTACTGTAACTTTAATCCAACAACGAGGAGAACAGTCATAAAAAGCTTTCTATACCTGTTATTACGTGGTGAACGTTGATTAAATCGATTTGCAAATGTCGGTGGAGGCTTTTTACCGCCTGATGGTCCTAAATTTTAATACAAATTGATGAAGGAAGAAAAATACCTCATGTTTTTTATACATACGAGCATGCTCAACGCGCACACGACGACCACATATAGCTCTAAAATGAATGGACGATCAAACTAAACCACAATAACCCATCATTTTTTCCTTTTTACCTGCCATCTAATTCTCTCACAGCCCTGTCAGCATCCTCAGCATGTTTATAAACGACAAAGGCGAAACCTGGTGGGTTTCTAAAGGAGAAAACACATACATATTCATTACAGAAAATCAATCATTAATGACTTTACGTAACTGTTAGAGACGTTTTGCAATTAAAATTAAAAAAATCTTAGAAAAAACAATTATTCAGAGACTAGTGCATCTCAGATTTAGTATCATAGTGGAAATTGTAGGTCGAAGGTAATAGGCTATTGTAGGCTGTCAAATTGTTTCCTTCCATCGGTTTCCAACAGCGCATACCTATGTTGGATTCAAAAATAAGTCCTGATATTTGTCTTTTACCTTGCCACCCAACAATCGAAAAGGGGGCCGTAATAATCAAATTGTCGTTCTAGCTCATATTTCGACGTTCGCGAGCCTAAATACATATAAATGGTTTTTCTTCGTTACTAAATGAATTATTATGAAATCAAAAATATATTTACCTAAGTCACCAATAAACACTCGATATCCTCCGAAATTCTTATCATACATAGCTTCAGCCATCTGAAATACGTAAACGTGAAAAACATAAGGAAAAATGTAATTCAGAGACTTTATAAGAATAATGAAAAATAACTTGCACTAAAATGATGTTGGTTTCTTTCGTTGCTCTTTACTGAATGAAAACTGTTTTAAGACTTAACTAGCCACTTTTGTATGGGATAAAGTTTTCAATCGAACGAGCTTGTTAGAAAAAAAAACCGAAAAATGTTTGACAAAAGTATACTATATAATCCCATCTGTTATTTTCGTTAAACTTTTTATGAAATGTACCTGTAAGATTCAAATACTGTTTTTATTAAGTGTATACAGCAAAAACACTGAATTTCAACGGAGTTCACCTATATCTAAAGTGCATTCATGCCACTATATGAGAAACATTTCTCGCACAGCCGACATACCATACTAACACTATAGCTATAAGCCTATACTAAAAGTTGGGACGCTTGGACAAGGGTTTCTAATGAGAATCTGCCAGAAAACGTACTTATACGCTTTGTAACTGTACGTGTACTCTTTGGAATTAAACGCAAAGCGTACAAAGCGTATAAAGCCATAAAATATGCCTATTATAACAAGGAAGAAAAAAAAACTGTTATTCATTAATCTGTTTTAATGCAATCAAGTCAAGTTCAAATACAATTTTTATTTGCATTTTTAAATACATTTTTATATTTATGATTAATATACACACACACTCTGTGTGGGTCAAACCAAGTCATCCATAGAAATTGCTATCCATAAATCACTGTTTTTTCAACTTTTGATTAAACTTGAGCCTCCGCTAAAACATCTCGTGAAAAATGTTTAAAAAAACGAGTTTTCTAATTATACAGTTTATTTTGAATAAAATATGTAGTGTTTCCTCTCAAGTAACTTAGGAATATATGAAAGTGGTGCAGAGAGCGCTATAGTATACGAAAATTTCTACAGCACAATCAGCTAGCCAAAAAGAGTTTCTTTGTCACTGTAATATAAGAGGTTTGGGTAACTGTTCTTCGCGCTCGTGTAAATCACTAGTCAACGACAGGACTGGAGAAGCTAGACAAAACTTCTCTATTTTTATGCTCAAAGGCTGAAAACGATGGAAGAGTATTTCCAGTTAGTTCTGTTTAGTATTACATGACGTACGGGCCGCTAACTGCTCCATATGGAGCTTGTAGTTACTTAAGAAATAAACAAAATCGCCTAGAAGCTGAAGCAAAGAACGTGTGGAACACGGTTTCCTACAGGAAGGAAGCCTTGATGTGATACCTTTTCTGACAACTTTGAGATCTGTTTCCTCTGAAGTAAAATGTTGTGTGTGGATGTTTTATATATCAGATGAAAGAGCAACTCCAGTGCTACAAATATTGATATGAACGCGTTCTTGCAATAGTCATAGAAATTCAGAGCAACGGTTGTAAAATGGCCTCAGAAGAAATGATGACTTGGTTTGACTCTCTGCGTGTGTATGCGTAAAATACGGAAAAATGACTGTCAGATATTCTGTGGATACGCCAGTCATAATCGAGAAGCATAAAAAATTTCTTTTTAACCACGAGAGAGAAAATATTCAAAAAGATGATCTGAAATATCTAGTGATGCAGAGAGAAAAAAACCTACGCAAATGTTTTCTGTGGTCCGGGGTTAGATGTCGCCAGATATCAATCAACTGTGATAATACAAAGAAAGTCGCCTACGGATAATAAAACTTACAGTGTATAGAGAATCTATCATAGGGAATCGATTAAAAATACTTTCAACCTTCTTAGGATATGTAGAGGGTGACCAGAAAAGCTTTTAGCTTTATTTACAGTAGACGGTTTTTTAATCAAGAAGATGGCTTAGTTATGCCACCAGGCAGCATTGTCGTCGATTTAATAGTCATAAAAGGGCGTTCACTAGCGTAGATCCAGGTTACCAAAGTCAAGGGACCGAAAGAGTGGAGACGAGCATTACCTTGTTTATTCCTTGACTTTATGTTAGTCTGGTCCGTGGTCTGATGATTTGTTGCACTGCAAAAAATGCCAGTCATTGTCAAATGCAGCTACATGGATCACATCTGCTAAACTGGCTTCTAGATCTAATAATGACCGGCAGAAGATCTAATAATGACCGAAAAGAATTAAATTATGGACTCTTTAGTATGGTGTGTTTATTTTTCGCTAAAAATGAGTACCGCACGAAAGGTTTCGCGCAGATACGGGAAGAGTGCTGTGAGAAGAGTAGAGACCATTTGTCAAGGAGACACTCGAAACTAATGGCGAAGTTACTAGAAATACGCGGCTGGTTGTTTGGTTTTTTTCTTTCTTATCTCCGTTAAAAATCAAGTTACTTCATTGTTTTTTAAGCGGTTATCGCTCTCCAATCATTCGAATCGTCTTGCTTTCATTTCTGATTTAATTTCTGTGAGTTGATATCTTTATATTTTTATTCATGATGGATGTCCCATAGGGCAAGGGGAGCTTGGGAGAACTCGTGAGCGAGAAATGATGATAGTAGAAGATCCCGTTGTTCAGCAATAACAATAATACGGCGAATTTCGTCGTCAATGTACTTGAGATCTCTACTGAGATCTCTAGAACTATTGCCAGCGGCGCGTTGTTTCTTCACAAATGACAGATCACCGGGCACATAAGAAGTGGCATCGGATAATTCTAAAACAGATAAAAGTAACAAATCTGTCACAAAGACAAAAAATGCGACTTACTGAGACGGAGCATGGCTTTCAACGGTTCCTCCAATCCAACTGTCTTTGTGATCAATCTGTGTTCGATGTACACCGATAATGCTTCTTGCCCGTTGTTGATTGATGAACAGATATTGTTCACTATGTCCTCGTGGACAATTTTGCACGACATCAGTTTTCGAAAATTTTGAGTTCTTGAAAATACTTCTTGTTTGAGTTTTTCGAGAATAATTGAGAGATCGCGCTCGTCAATTGCCACTCGTTTCATTGTACATTCTGTATGCGACTGAATACTGTTGTTCTTTGTTTCTATACCACAAATTTCGTGCAATGATGAGCTGAGAAGGGCTCGATAAGCAAATGAATGGATCCACGTATCGATTGTTGTTTCATTGAATTTTCCTGAGATGCCCCCGTGGCTTTTGCCATGCTTGTTAATGGAACACTCGATGCTTTGATCGAGTGCAATACCTATAAAAGAGATGAAGTTGTGAGTGGGGGAATTCTATGAGAGAATGTTGCTTACTTGAGAATGGTCGATGTGTCCGACTAACAGCGAAAGATCGCGAAATCGTTGAAGTAAATAGAGTAAGCTTGAGCGTAGATTGACTAGATGGTCAGCACAAAGTCTCACATAATTCCGATGATTGTTTGCAAAGAATAATGGCGCAATTCTGGACACAGAAGCATTTCTTAAATTAAAATTTGATGTTCGGATCGAAGCATACAGTGTGATGAGTGGTTCGAGTAGGTGATGCAAGACAAACGATCAAAATCGGAATGAGCACCTCTGTTGACTTACGTCAACTGCCCACATAGATGGTGCAGTAGGCAATTCTACATCAGCGATAGAAGAGTTTCGAACAACTTTTTGTGAGCATCGTTGACATTGTCAAGCGGAATAGCGTCCAACGTAGGCCTCAGCTTGTCGATAAGAGAAGAAGACGGTTGCGATGTTGATGTGGTTGCTGTTGCTCTTGAGAATGAATGGATAAACAGAATGGATAATGCCGTAAAAAGTAACTTGCAAGCTCGGAGAAATTTGTTAAAATGATGGACGTTCAGAATTGAACGAAGAGCTGCTCATTTGTACAAATAATTGAGGATATCATCGATACCAGATCCATCGAGCACGTCCCAAATAACTATCGTCGTTGTCTTCATTAAATGGAAGTCGCCTGGATATATGCTAATTTGTTGAAAGTCGACTAAATTCTGTCTTCTTGCCTGAAAAGAATTGTAAGTTCGAGTTTGAGTTAACTGAATAAAGACTTACCGTCACGCAATTTCTGTAAATCTTCTCGTCAACTACCACTATTGCTTCTTTTTGATGGTTTGAATCTATGAGCGCAGATTTCGTAGAGCGCAAACACGACTGAGCGGCACATAACGAGCTCGGATCATCGTTGATCGGTGTACAGAATGTGATTGTGTGTATTGGACGTTGTTCAAAATATAAATAAGTGGCAAAAAATCCGGAGAGAAGTGGTAATGAAACGGAATGAGTGGACGAAATCGCTAATGCTTGCTCTTTCTTTTGTTCAAACGTGTATTTCATTAATGTGTATCCGAGAAGCTTATTATCAAACGATTTATCGATAAATGGTTCGTATTGAGATAGGTTTGTTTTAGCTGCTGTTAGTGGAACAGATATCATGCTCGCTGCATCACTAGCTCCAGGTAAAGCGAGCAATTGTACCGACTCTGTATGAGAGAGGTTGAAAAATCGACTCTATTTGCGCCAGACGGATCGAGCTGAAATTGTGGGAAATGAATAGTGACTATTACTTATACATTTTCTGAAAGTTTCATCTTTACACATATAATGGTGTCAAAGATAATTACTTTTATAGTTGGCGCTAAGTGGGCAGCGGTTATTCTCATTGAATGTAGCGCTTTTGAACTGCAGCAATCTTTGGGGGTCTAATAACATTTAATTGATTGATTTACGAATGTTGTCAACTTTCCCAGTGAGAAAGAAAAGCACAAAATTTTGGTTTAATTTTATTTTGATGTTTCATTTCTATGACATTTCGATATATTATCGGTTTCTTTTGTTATATGTATACGTATACATGCAATTTATTTTGGTAGATAAATTTATTAAAATTGTCCTTACGATTTACGATTAAATACATAATTAAGAAAAAGTATGATAATGTTCTTCTTATTTGTATATATAGAGTATTGTAGTATTTAAGCATTTCTCAACTATTCCCAAATATTAAACAAGGCAATACCATAGTAAGTCAGTACTATGTTTTATTGTTAGTAATGGGTATATGCGTTTTTTGATCAATAGTACTCAGTTAAGCACCAGATATCTGTAGTTGTTTTGGAAGAATACAATCTAATATTTCTTTTATATTAGATTATTCTGAGATTATTCCTGTATTCCACTCTTACCCAACATTCCATTTTATCTCTAACCCCCTAACTATATCTCAAAAACCCTATGGGGGAATTTCTGAAATTTTTGAGTTTTTTGAATTTTGAATTTTCGGAATTTTTGAAATAGGGCCACCAATATCACTCGTAGCATCATCGCAAAATAGAATTTTCGATGAAGCTACGAGAGCTTTTGATGAGCTTTCTTTTTAGAAAAAGTATGTATCTATTCCAATATAATAGCCGAATAAGTTTTCAGAGAACTTTCTGAAGTACCATGACTTTCTGGCTTTCTCTTCAGGCCATGGTAGTGAGAGATAATGTATGTAAAACAGAAATGAAAATAGTTAAAAGGCTGTTCTTATCCATAGTCCGCATCCTCTTGACACAGCTGTGAATAGTGATGGGCCGTAAGACGCAAGAAGCGTTAATTTTCTAGTATCTGTTCTTTCGTCTCTCGTGACCTGTACATGTAGAGTATAGGTGCGCGGATGACGATAAAGTTAAAGGAAAGAGAAAACATAACTTTTATACAGTTCACTGAAAAAGAAAAATGTAGTCTTTCTTCTTCTGATGTGAACATGTCTTTTGACTTATATATTTCGTGTATGTGTATATACAACAATTATCCTTACGTACGAAAAGGAATGGTTTCTTTCTTTGATACATGTCTTTCCTATAGAAGTCATTTTTTTTAACATTTCCCATTAGAAAAGTCTTGCGAATCTTACAATAAAAGAATTTTTCGTTGTAATGGAGATAAAGATTATATAGAATCTTTTCTTCAATGTACTGTTCATACGTCATTTGTCCACGAAATTAAATAATTCTATTGAAATTGTAAGATTCGCAAGACTTTTTTCTAATAAGAAACGTTAAAAAAATGACTTCTACGATTAAATCTGACAAACTACTCTATCAAAGATTGTAGAGTGAATGTTCTTAATTCACGAAAATTTAACGTCGGCATTTCGTCGTTCATTCTTGATAAATTTCTTCATAAACTATCAGGTGTTTTTATATCTCCCAGTAGAAGATACACGATGAATTTAATTCGAAAAAAAAAAGCTAATTAACTATTTCTAATGACCAAGTCATCCCGGTATCTTGATGCCCGTTGGAATTGGTGGTGTTCACTAATAGAGATTTTACAGTAGTCAGAAGTTGGTTAACTATAAAGCGTATAATAGCAGTTCTTGGATACAACCCTAGGGTACCACAATTCCTTAATGATCGATTTCATCGTCTTTGTTGTAGAAAGTAATTTCTTCAGAAAGACAAAACACTCTAAAGTTATAAATTTTATTCCGCTGCAAATTTTCAGATCGAAGAAAATGGCCCGAGATCTTTTTTTACTTGAAAATAACTGAAAAAAATGAGTTTTTGATAAAATTCGTTACACTGATGTGAATACGATATTATATATATTCTATCCTAGCTTTTATTATGGCTTGTGTATGTGTTGATAATTTCCCACCTTTTCATTTGTATATTCTTTCCACACTTTGCTAAATTGCACGATTTTTTTGTCTAGGGCAAATTGCAGTTGCAAAATCTCATCTTGGAAAAGGAATGTTAAACATGAAACATATAGGTATCGTTGATATTACAACAGTTGGTGCATGCTTATGTGCAAACGAAATTGTGGCACAAGCGGCGGAACAAGATTCATCGGGAAAACATCCCGAATTCACAATGCACGCATTTTCGTTTGATCAATACAAGGATTTAGTGGATAGAAAAGACTGGGATAATTTGGCCAAGAAAATATGCGAATCAATTAAAGTACTTCAAAACGCTGGCGCTGATTTTATAATTATTCCATCGAATAGTCCACATTTCTCAATAAGTCAAATTATCGAGAACTCACAATTGCATGTTGTGAACTTAATTGAAGTTGTGGTTGATGAATGTAGTAGAAATGGTTATTCCAAAGTTTTGGTCCTTGGAACTAAACTTACAATGCAAGGAGGACTATATAAACAACCTCTACAATCGAAGAACATCCTTTCTGCTATTCCTAATGATGAAATGTGTGATAAAATTGAACATTTAATAAGGAATGAACTTATTCCATCAAAGATAAATTCAAGTACAGTGCAAAATATTCAGGAGTATATCCAGAACTACGATTGTGATGCGGTAATTCTTGGATGTACAGAACTACCTGTAGTATACAACAAAGAGAATCTTGGTAAAGATGTTATCGACACAACTCGTTTACTTGCTCACTATGCTTTACGTTTCTCAAAGGGAGAACTTGTCTCCAACGATCTATCAAATAATTAATTAGCAAAGTTCAAGTGTGCAAAAAACATGTATTAGTTCACAGAAATAGTACACGTCTTGCTACTGTTATATGGCCATGATGCTCTTAACATTGTTTATTAGAAAATAGCTGTTTTTCTGAAGTTTTAATACTGATTCTAAATAAATCCATCATACTTACCTCAAAGAACGAGGGACGATAAGAGCCAAAATTGACCCTCTCTCAAATCAATCTTATGTTAACTGAACCGTTGCAGTTTTCGTCCGCCATTAACCCTAACATATTTTTAGACCTTAAATAATCCTTTTCAGCGCTCTGGAAACATTTTTTTTAGCTGAAAATCTCTTTCACCTAGAGCAAATATCACCTATATATGCCGATCGATAGAGAACTTCATGGGCTACAAAATGATACATAGAAGAAAATGTAACTGGATAGTCTACGATCCGAAATACTCGGTACTATCGCAGGAAACCGGCGGGTCAGCGGTGTTTATGGTTATAATATCGAGTGAGTTCAATGATGATATTGAAGGTGAACTTTTTATTTCTTGTAGAAGTACCGAAGCACGATACAAATAAGTATTCCCCGGGTCCGAGCACCAATTTGTGAGCATCGTTTAAGAGACGTCCCAACTTCTGCAACGGTTGACTAACTTCTATGAGTTAACTTAAGTATATTTAAGTTAACTTTATTATATTTTATTTTATTTGTTTTCGGTTTAAGATTTTCTTCTCTTTTTCTGTATAAAAAAAAGAAAACTTAAAAACTAGATGTTAACTTAAAATCAGATTTTAAAATTATTAAACAATTTCGAAAGAAAAGCTTACAAGTCAATTTTTGTCAATTCAAGAACACTGTCAATAATACTAATTGCCGGTAGGAAGTCACACTACAATCTTCGATATAGTTTATCAGATTTAATTGTAGAAGTCATTTTTTTAACGTTTCTTATTAGAAAAAAGTCTTGCGAATCTTACAATTTCAATAGAATTATTTAATTTCGTGGACAAATGACGTATGAACAGTACATTGAAGAAAAGATTCTATATAATCTTTATCTCCATTACAACGAAAAATTCTTTTATTGTAAGATTCGCAAGACTTTTCTAATGGGAAATGTTAAAAAAAATGACTTCTATAGGAAAGACATGTATCAAAGAAAGAAACCATTCCTTTTCGTACGTAAGGATAATTGTTGTATATACACATACACGAAATATATAAGTCAAAAGACATGTTCACATCAGAAGAAGAAAATAGGATTTCCATCGATTGATCCTCGGTGCAAAACAGCGAATGAATGTGGGTACCAGATGCTTGAGGATATCCAGAAAAATTTCGAGTTTCTACCAACAATATTAAAGAAAAATTTTGCGTGAGTAGTAAACATTTTTAGAGACATGTTTTAATTTTAAAAGCAAGCTTTTGAAATGTTCATCAAAACTTTTTAGTTGAATTTACAAAAAATTAGAGAAATAGGTTGTTAGACCCATTCAGCGTTTCGAATGATGAATAGGTTGAGTTTCTACTTTGAAAAATTAATTGTATTTAGTAATTTTACAACCGCTTTGTAGTTAGTAGAGACTCAGACAGAATTAATTTCTGAAAGAATCAAAAGAAGATACCACAACCGGTTTCGACCTTTCTCAAGGATCTCGTCAGGTGGTTTCCTACGAGAAAGACAGGGCTAAGGCATGATAAGCAAAAAAGAAAAATTAATGAAAAATTAATCTCCATTCTGTTTAATACACTGAGGAAAAACTTCTACTTTGCTTTTGAGAATTTCTACTTTTGTATCCTTGGGCCACGGATACAAATTAAACAAAAAGATCAACGACGAAGCAAATAAGTGGTTTCTGCACGAGTATAAACATATACAAGTATCATTATCAATCATGTAAGATTGAAATATTTGTCGGAGAAAATCTTACATATGGCCTGTGTACAAATCTATTACAAGATGATGAATTTATTCAGCCTCATGTTTCATATGAACAATTTAGAAAAATTCGATACTGTCAAATGAAAAAAAGATTCGATGTCTATTCACGTGGTATTTGTGGATGGATTGTAAAAGCTGAAAATTCAAATGAACGTTTCAAACTCCATTGTCTATTGTGTAAAAATAAATTTTTCTTTCTTTTTGCCACCAACAACAATATTATTTAACAACACGCTAACAATTTTCACCAATAACGTAACGATGTTCTTCTGATGTCAAACAGGTAAAATCTTCTTTTTTGTATTACTCTAAATTCATTTTCGCTTTCTTTAAAGAATGTGCTTATTATGCGGCAATGAGAATACAATAAGATGTTATCTATACTACTCAACTAGACGATCATGATTGAAGACGAAATAGAAATAAAACTTCGAAATCTAGAATGACATTGGCATTATGGAGAATTGGTGGACGATAAACAATACAAAGCACACAGTTGGTGTCTTTGTCCAACATACAAATGAGTTATTCAACGCTTCCAGGGGTGCTCAATTTTATATGGCAGCAGCAACGGTTCAACTGATAGAAACAACCATTGATCATTGTCGCCTTGAAAATTCAATCGTTTTGCACTCATTTATTAAATGAATTTATTACTTTTCATTTATAACAGATCAATTGTGTTCTTTTGTCCTCGATGTCATATATGTCAAAATACTGCTCATAGAATAGGTTTACTTGTGTTTATTGTTTAACATTAATACTCTGTTCAAAATATGTGCAAAAATCAATTTTGAAACATTCCGAATAAAATCAACGAAGAACTTCAAATATAACAAAAACGAGAAGAAAAGAGTACGAGCAAAAAAACGAAAAAAGTACAAGAAAAAACGATGAAGCTCAAAAAAAATTTACTTTTTTTACCCCAGATAATTACACCTTTTAATCCATCGAGCAAAACGTAGGCCAACTTCATTGAGATAATTGCTGTTTGAGTTGGTATTGATCTTCCTTTTCTTTTAATTGGTTTATATCCAAGAATAATATCTTTTAAATTTGCTGAAATTGGACCAATTATTGTATCTTTGTTGTGTATTAATGGTAATGGCGGATCATTGTTTAGGCATTTGTAGACGAATATCTGCCATTGAAATATATTGTTGTTACTGAACGAATTTTCATCCATTATTCTACAATAGAAGAAAAACAAGAATAATATTAAAGATTAAGAGAAACTGAAAGATTTGTATTAACTCAAATCACATTTTGTCAAAATAACTCCACCACTTTTTTTTTGTGAAACACAAAAAGCTTTTTGAAATGCAAATATTTTAGTACAAAAATTTTTTAAAATATTTTGCTTGATATATTTATCATGTTCTAAAAATGTCCAAAATTTTGTTCTCTACTACTTTGTTATCGAATTTAAAATATTAACCAAAATCTAGCAACACGAAGAAAAGGTGAATTTTATTCTTTCTTTCCATTACATCTTTAAACAAAGAGTAGTAAAATTCAATATTTGATAACTTACTCTCTGATCAATTGTTCTTCTTTTTCTTCATATAAAAGACGTACAACTTGATGATTATTAAATTCATTTTTTGAAATGGAGAATATAAGACAAGCTGGTCTTTGTTCACCATCAGTTCTGATGGCCCTATTCTTCGCATGTCTTAAAGCTTCAATGAAATTATTTGTTGTGTAAAATCTAAACCCAAAATCACTCGGACGTGATCCTCTTGTAACTAAATGAATACCACTTGCTATAATAGATTGAGCACGAATTTCAGTAGTTCCATGATAAAAAAACATTTGTTCATCAGTTGATTTATTTTTAAAAATTGTCATCGAGTTTTGAAGATCTTTTTCATCTGAAGTATTCAAGTAATCATCGGTAAAATATACTTGTAAATGACGCATGTAAGATAATTCACCATCACGTACTGATTGACAAACTTGATCAATCCATTGGTTTTGACGTGAAGTATCAAAAGGAGTTAGAGGGCATTGTCGTTTATTTTCTAATCTATCGATGATTGAATATCGAATCAAGTCAATAATACCATAACCATGTTCATCATCCCATTTTTCAGCTTCTGGAAGAATAGCATCAGTAAAATAAATTGAAATTTCTTCATCCTTAAGTTGCCCAGGTCCGTGTTTTCGATAGCCGTTACGATCGCCGTAAACGGCCATAAATGGCGAAATACGGCGATTTACGGCGCCGTATACGTCGAAATACGCCACGTAAATGGCCGTAAATTGACCGTAAATGTGGCGGCAGTAATACGTGCCGTATTTCACCGTATCGTTTACGGCACTAATACGGC